CAAACAGACAAACACCGGCAAAAACATAACCTCCTTGGCGGAGTTAATAATAATTGAGTTTTATACAGCGCTTTTCATGATAACACAAATATGCTTCACAGTAAAGTAAAACTAAAACAAGGACAGCACAGACAAAACCGTATAGACCTTTTTCACAACGATCGGAAGTGTTGCGATGTCGGTAAATGTCACTTACGTTAAGGCTTTTCTGTGGCAAAATATCTGTGTAAATGTGTGTCGTATTCTTCATCAATCTGCCCCATCACCAAATCTTCAACCAACAAACTCCACAAAGGATAAACGTTCGAACATGAAGAATTTATCCACAACTATCAAGAGAAGAAAGACGAAAACTTAAAGGAAACGACGACGACGCATTAGTTGTTATGGATGTTATGGTCATGAATAAAACAGAAAGAACTTGTTCGCTCAGACTGATTCTAGACTCAAAGTTTGAAAAAGAAGATTAAGGTTACGTTTGCACTGAAACAAATCACCGTATCGGAAACGATCTGCGTCCGGACACGTCGTTTCTGTGTCCGAAAGCCTTCTCTATCCACACAGCTTTGAGCACATTTGTTTACGTTTTACAGAAACAAAACTTAAAACCGCATGACTCATTTGCATAAACTGAGCCTCAAAAAAAACAGCTCGCTCCTTGTGCGCTGATGCGGTTCAGCTTCTGTCGGACTAAAGGACACGACTCAGTGGAATATGAGTGTTCTTTCTGTGACAGAGGAGGTTCTGCTGATGGTGAGTCTGTTCTGTGTTTCTGTCATGTTGGAGATGGTTCATTTTAAACTTTTCAGAGATTATACGTCTGCAGGTCGTACACACAGACACACGTTTATATGAATTAGGGACGGGCATTCGATGAAATTTTCTTAATCGACCGTCGAGAGAATTAACGATCGATTATCGATTAATCATTAACGTTTTTTATATTAAAATGATCATCATTATTATTACTATCTGCACTAATCTGCATAAATAAATTCAACTTTACGACATATAAACATAACGACTCTAGATCCACATCAGCTGTTTGACATTATAATGTGTTTAATTCAGTTTTGTTCAAATCTCACAGAAACAAAACTTAAAACCGCATCGTTAATTTACATAAACTAAGTGAAGATAAAACTCCAGCTCTTGTGTCGCTGATGTGGTTCAACTTGTGTTGGATTAAAAGACATGACTCAGGTGAATACAGGTCAGTGTGACCAGATTTGTGTTTGTCAAAACCAGGACAGCGTACGGGGGGAGGGGGGCGGGGCCTCGTCATCCACATTGAGCGACTCTCACCTGGAAAAACTTTTTCCCACTGGACACAGAAACATATGTGCTGCTTTATACACTGTGCACATGGACTCACACTTGTCCCAACGCAACGGAAAGTGTGGAATTTCTTGTCCAAATCATCGTTAAATCCACATTTGTGCTTCGGTTCGTTGCAGACTGACTGACTGTGTTTGCTCGCTCCTTCTGATGCAGAGACACATGTACACACCTGTTTGGTCACACTACGCACAGCAACCTACATTCGGTTTGTCGATTAAAATTTACGTAATCGATGAAATTCTTAATTATCGATTAATCGACTAATCATGCCCATCCCTAATATGAATGGATAAATATTCTGGCCTCTTAGTGATTTGGCGGTGAATTACTTCGTAGTGCATAGACCTACGTCAGAGTATCAGCGTTTTCAGGCGTCCACACAGATTCGTACTTTGATGAATTCGTGGGAGCTGGAGGCACCAGGTCGTTACGTCTCTGCAGCCGTTTTCCGTCGGATTAGCGGACGAACACTGCACCCACAACCAAAACGACTCGAATGCGAACTAGTGTGGACGCGGCCTAAAAGATTAAAAATCGATTTCATGATGTCGCTATTGGCATAGACGGAGAGATTTGTGCGGTTTAAATGTCAGACATGTAATCTGTGAACATCTGGAGCATTTAAACGGCACAAATCTCTCTGTCTGTGCAAATATCTACACTATGAAATCGATTTTTTATTTTATTCATGATCATAACATTAGTTGTCGTTGTGTTGTCGTTGTTTCCTTTAAGTTTTGGTCTTTCTTCTCTTGATCGTTGTGGATAAATTCTTCATGTTAGAATGTTTATCCTTTGTGGAGCTTGTCGGTTGAAGATTTGGTGATGGGGCAGATTTATGAAGCTGCTGGAGAATACGACACACATTTACGCAGATATTTTGCCACGGAAAAGCATTAACCGGGAGTTACGTTTACCCGACATCGAGGCACTTCTGGTCGTGGTGAAAAAGGTTTATTGAGGAGCAGTCGTGTGTGTAGACTCTGAGGAAAAGGTGTTTTTAGGAGCAGTTTTCTGAAGGTGTTTGAGTTTTTGATGTAAACAGGGAGACGGTTCTAGAGGGTGGAGGTGGCCATGGCAAAGGCTCGGTCCCCCAAGGTTTGGTTTTGACTGTAGACATACTAAACTTGACTAATACTCCCTACAGTAGAGCATAGACAGGCTTGAACGGACAAGACCATGTTGTTGTACCTTTTCATGGTTGTATCAGAATGGAGTATCAACATTTTTTCCCGTCTTTTGTCTTGTTTGAGTCTTGATTTGAGTTTGTTTCGTGACCACGCTTGAGGTCACTTGGCAGAATCAGTAATTGGTTGGAAACAAACATGGCAATAGACCTGTTAAAATTGTGTGTCATCAGGACGTTCAAAAATCTAAAATGAAGGAAACTGGAGCCAAAGTGAAGCAGACATAACAGAATTTCAGTGATTAACCCTTCCAGACTGAGGGTATTGTATACGATACCTGGGAATATGTTTTTATGTAACCACGCAGAACTTGCATACCCTGATTCATCAGCCGGTTTCACTTGGTGGAAACCGTCTGACCTCGCAGCATTAGGATCCGTTCGCTTGACAATAGGCGAGTACTTTTTTATTTAACCAATCGCTGCACCAAATCCCGTAGGAAGAAGGACAATAACGTCTTTCCTCTTGATAAAATTCACCAAACATTCTCTTTGTTCCGGCTTTAAATCCTCGATCTTGGGAATCGTTGCCAACACAGATTGTCCGTCTCTTCACTGATTGACTGGTGCCCGAACTCACACTTCCGAGGTTTTTGTGAACCGTCTAGTCCAGGGGTGTCAAACTCATTTTGGTCCGGGGGCCGTATCCAACCGACTTTGATCCCAAATGGGCCGGATCAGAAAACTCATGTCATATAAACCCCAAAAATAACAATAAGTTCAAATATTTGTGCAGAGAAACACAAATTTATTACAGAAATCTTTTTTAATTGATGAACTCTTTCTTATTATATTATAATATTATGAACAACCTGAAACTTTAAGAAAAAATCAATTTCAACATTTAAAATATTTTAGTAGAAAATCACCCAAGGGCCACATTAAAGGTCTTGGAGGGCCGGATCTGGCCCCCGGGCCTTATGTTTGACACCTGTGGTCTAGTGTATTCTGATTCCTGACCTAGTCGCTGGAGAGAAATGAAATTGAGCGGAGGCACTAGGCCAGTGGTCACCAACCTGTAGATCACGATCAACAGCTGCATCTTTGCCATGTCCCCGGTAAATCTCCAGCTTAATCTGACAATGTGTGATACTAAATGTGCATTGAAAGTGAGCGCTTACTTTGGTTTAACTTATCTGCATGAGGCGGCTTTTTCACAAATGAAAATCATCAAATCCAAGCACAGAAACAGTCTGACTGACAGGCACCTCACAGATTGTCTCAGTTTCGCTGTCTGCAACTATAAACCAAACTTCAAAACATTATCCAAGGAAATTCAGACTCGGCCATCGCCCTGAGTTTGATAATAATGGAACTTCTCTCATTAACCCTTCGATATACTGTTAATGCTGTTTAGTGGTCAAATTTGCACTATTTTGGTTGCTTTCACTGCATTTGGTTTGCATTTTGTTTGTATTGCAGTTGCACATTTTTTTTCTTGCAGAGAGTGTTTTAGTCCCCATTCTGTAATGAGTGTTCCTTTTAGTAAGAATGCAAAAATAAAGCTGTCTGGAACTATAAACTATGATCACGTTTGTTGTTATTTACGTTCATGTTGGTAGATCTTGCTCTTTCTTTGTCTGAAAAAGGTTGGTGACCACTGCACCGTTCCTTGAAAAGCTGAGCGTTGTGACTTTCCGAGCATATTTCCGGCCTTATCCTGCGTCACACTTGCGCTGCTTGATGACGTCGATAAAATGAGTGTCCAATAAGATTTATTTTTTTTACTACCTTTTCTGGTGGAGCGTCCATCAAACGCTTTTCTCCATGGAGATGTTATTGCTTTGTCTGGAATGTTTCACAGTACGGCATTAAAGCTGTCTGTCCTCACAGAGACCAAACCAGACCAAGTTACATGTCAAATCTGTGGAGCGGCGACCCCACTCACAGTCAGAATACCTGTTTTTCTAGGTATTGGTGAATAAATGTAATAAAAGTAGAGCTGTTTAATGTGACACACCGCAAATTTCTCTGATTTGGCCAAGATTTTAAAACTTGTATCAAGTTATTCATCTTATTTTCAGATTTATTATCGATTTACTAGTTCTGAAACTGGTTAATTCTAGTCTAGAGGTCGTTTATTTTAAGAGAACATGTCAAGTAAAATGATCTGTCCATGCAGCAGGATCATTTTACTACTTTTAAATTATTTTCTGATAGATTTAAGTTTATATTTTAAGTGTTTTTGAACATTTTAGACTTGGACAAACTTTATTGATCCACATTCAGACATTTTAGACAAAACCCTCCACCAGAAAAGTTACACAGTGCATCTTTATCGTGTGTAAAGGTGCAGTGGTCAGACCCAGATCTCCCGCTTCAGTCTTGTGATGATCTCATGACTCTGTCCCGGTCACAGACTCCACATCTCCACATCTGCTCGATACGCTCGTCTCCGGAGTCTAAACAAATACGACCGCACTTGGCATTTTGTTCTTGTTTTCTAACTAGAAATATGTGTGTTTTTTTTCAGGTTCAAAGCCAGACAGAGGCACACGGGAGGCCCCAGCTCAGAGGACGACTGCGATGGTCACAGGGTCCACAGGTCGGTTCATTCAGACACAATTATTATTAAGATTATTTATATTCAGTGTTGGGAAGTTTACTTTTAAAATGTAATCCCCTACAGACGGTGTCGGGGAGTAACAGATTACGTGTACCAGAGTTACGTAATCAGAGTACAAATTGTGAGTAACTGTATTCGGTTACAGTTACTGTTTCAGTGAGTGGTGATTGGATTACAGTTACTTTGTTCAAATAAATGGATTACACAGAGGGATTTTACTGTTTTCACATTTTGGGATAAACCAGGACTAAAACCAGGGACTAAAAACCAGGACTAAACCAGGACTAAAACCAGGACTAAACCAGGACTAAAACCAGGACTAAACCAGGACTAAAACCAGGACTAAACCAAACCAGGACTAAACCAGGACCAAACCAGGTCTAAATCAGGACTAAACCAGGTCTAAACCAGGCCTAATCTAGGTCTAAACCAGGACTAAACCAGGTCTAAACCAGGTCTAAACCAGATCTAAACCAGGTCTAATCTAGGTCTAAACCAGGACTAAACCAGGTCTAAACCAGGTCTAAACCAGATCTAAACCAGGTCTAATCTAGGTCTAAACCAGGACTAAACCAGATCTAAACCAGGTCTAATCTAGGTCTAAACCAGGACTAAACCAGGTCTAAACCAGATCTAAACCAGGTCTAAACCAGACATAAAACCAGGACTAAACCAGGTCTAAACCAGGGCCAATTTGAAGAGAACAAACAGGATGTGGTCGCTACATTCATGTAGTTTTAAAAAGCAAGACAATATCAAGTAATCCAAAGTATTCAGATTACATTACTCACTTTAAGTAATTTAATGGATTACGTTACAAACTACATTTTGGGGTGTGTAATCTGTAATCTGTAGGGGATTACATTTTAAAAGTAAACTTCCCAACACTGTCTACAGATTACAGATTACACACCCCAAAATGTAGTTTGTAACATAATCCATTAAATTACTTAAAGTGAGTAATGTAATCTGAATACTTTGGATTACTTGATTTGCTGTAGAGAAACAAAGACGAGGAAATCTTCACATAAGAAGTTTTGTCTGATAAAAGAAAATAAAAAGTCCAGATTTTACTGAACCAAATTAAAAATATTATTGACAGAAGAAGAAGAAACACGTCCACACAGCAGGATTTACTCCTGTTACATTCTGTTTGACACATAGTTTAGACCAGGTTTAGTCCTGGTTTAGACCTGGTTTAGACCTGGTTTAGTCCTGGTTTAGTCCTGGTTCAGTCCTGGTTTAGTCCTGGTTTAGTCCTAGTTTAGACCTGTTTTAGTCCTGGTTTAGACCTGGTTTAGTCCTGGTTTAGACCTGGTTTAGTCCTGGTTTAGTCCTGGTTTAGTCCTGGTTTAGATCTGGTTTAGTCCTGGTTTAGTCCTGGTTTTAGTCCTGGTTTAGACCTGGTTTAGATCTGGTTTGGTCCTTTAGTCCTGGTTTAGTCCTGGTTTTAGTCCTGGTTTTAGTCCTGGTTTTAGTCCTGATTTTAGTCCTGGTTTAGACCTGGTTTAGATCTGGTTTAGTCCTGGTTTTAGTCCTGGTTTTAGTCCTGATTTTAGTCCTGGTTTAGACCTGGTTTAGACCTGGTTTATCTGGTTTGGTCCTGGTTTAGACCTGGTCCTGGTTTAGTCCTGGTTTAGACTGGTTTAGACCTGGTTTAGTCCTGGTTTAGACCTGGTTTTCCTGGTTTAGTCCTGGTTTAGACCTGTTTTTAGTTTAGTCCTGGTTTAGTCCTGGTTTAGTCCTGGATTTAGTCCTGTTTAGTCCTGGTTAGTTAGACCTGGTTTAGTCCTGGTTTGGTTTAGACCTGGTTTAGACCTGGTTTAGTCCTGGTTTAGACCTGGTTTAGTCTGGTTTTTAGTCCTAGTTTAGTCCTGGTTTAGTCCTGGTTTAGACCTGGTTTAGTCCTGGTTTTAGTCCTGATTTAGTCCTAGTTTAGACCTGGTTTAGACCTGGTTTAGTTCCTGTTTAGTCCTAGTTTAGACCTGATTTTAGTCCTGGTTTAGTCCTGGTTTAGACCTGGTTTAGTCCTGGTTTAGTCCTGGTTTAGTCCTGGTTTCCTGGTTTAGTCCTGGTTTAGTCCTGGTTTAGTTAGTCCTGGTTTAGACCTGGTTTAGATCCTGGTTTAGTCCTGGTTTAAGAACCTGGTTTAGACCTGGTTTAGACCTGGTTTAGAGTCCTGGTTTAGTCCTGGTTTAGACCTGGTTTAGACCTGGTTTAGACCTGGTTTTAGTCCTGGTTTAGTCCTGGTTTAGTCCTGGTTTAGACCTGGTTTAGTCCTGGTTTAGTCCTGGTTTAGTCCTGGTTTAGACCTGGTTTAGACCTGGTTTAGTCCTGGTTTAGTCCTGGTTTCAACCTGGTAACGAGTCATTATCCGTTTTTTCATTTTGATTTTGGAGACAAATAATGAAGAAAATAGTTGCTTCTTTTTGTTTTCCTTCTGTTTTTTTATTTTTTGAAAAACAAATGAACGAACGACACACAGATTAAAACAAAACTCCAGGTCTGTTGACTTGACTTGAAGCTCACAGGGCTCAGTTTTGTGTAATATTTAAACCTGCTGACACATTTTCACATTTTCTTCTTCTTCTTCCGACAGAAGAAGTGGTGTAGTCCTGGTTTAGTCCTGGTTTAGACCTGGTTTAGACCTGATTTAGTCCTAGTTTAGTCCTGATTTAGTCCTAGTTTAGACCTGGTTTAGACCTGGTTCAGTCCTGGTTTAGTCCTGATTTAGTCCTAGTTTAGACCTGGTGTAGTCCTGGTTTAGACCTGGTTCAGTCCTGGTTCAGTCCTGGTTTAGTCCTGATTTAGTCCTAGTTTAGACCTGGTTTAGACCTGGTTTAGACCTGGTTCAGTCCTGGTTTAGTCCTGATTTAGTCCTAGTTTAGACCTGGTGTAGTCCTGGTTTAGACCTGGTTTAGACCTGGTTCAGTCCTGGTTTAGTCCTGATTTAGTCCTAGTTTAGACCTGGTGTAGTCCTGGTTTAGACCTGGTTTAGACCTGGTTCAGTCCTGGTTTAGTCCTGATTTAGTCCTGCTGACACATTTTCACATTTTCTTCTTCTTCTTCCGCTGGAGCTGTTTGGGTGTGTTTGGTTTGGATCTCGTGCTGAGGCTGCAGACCGACTGCGCCGACTTAAACCCTTCTGAAAGTTCGTCCAAATGACCTTTTGTGAAGAAAAGCTGTTTGTTTGACACCGTGACCCTGGCATTTCCTTTCTATTCTTCCCGCTGCGTCGTCTGCGCTCGCCGTTTCCCGTGATGTGGGCTGAGAATAATGGACTCGTGTACGTGTGTGTGTGTGTGTGTGTGTGTGTGTGTGTGTGTGTGTGTGTGTGTGTGTGTGTGTGTGTGTGTGTGTGTGTGTGTGTGTGTGTGGTGAAGAGAGGCTGAGGTGGCTGATCGTTCTGATGCTAAACTGGCAAATTAAAGGTGCAGGATGGAACTTTTTTTGGGGGGAAATGGGTTCGTCCGAAAACACCTACAGTTCAGTTTGTGTTTCCTCCCGCGTGATTTCAAGTAGTTGGTGACATCGAATACTGACTCGAGTGTTTCATTCTCTTGGACTAGGGATGGGATTAATCGATAATTGATCATTAAGAATTTCATCGATTACGTTCATTTTAATGGACAAACTGAATGTATGTTTGTGTGTCGTGACCAAACAGGTGTGTACATGTGTCTCTGCATCAGAAGGAGCGAGACACAAACAGTGGGTCAGTCTGTAACGAACCGAAGCACAAATGTGGATTTAACCAGGATTTGTAGAAGAAATTCCACACTTTCCGTTGCGTTGGGACAAGTGTGAGTCCATGTGCACAGTGGATAAAGCAGCACATATGTTTCTGTGTCCAGTGGGAAAAAGTTTTTCCAGGTGAGAGTCGCTCAATGTGGATGACGAGGCCCCGCCCCCCTCCCCCCGTACGCTGTCCTGGTTTTGACAAACACAAATCTGGTCACACTGACCTGTATTCACCTGAGTCATGTCTTTTAATCCAACACAAGTTGAACCACATCAGCGACACAAGAGCTGGAGTTTTATCTTCACTTAGTTTATGTAAATTAGTGATGTGGTTTTAAGTTTTGTTTCTGTGAGATTTGAACAAAACTGAATTAAACACATTATAATGTCAAACAGCTGATGTGGATCTAGAGTCGTTATGTTTATATGTCGTAAAGTTGAATTTATTTATGCAGATTAGTGCAGATAGTAATAATAATGATGATCATTTTAATATAAAAACGTTAATGATTAATCGATTGTTAATTCTTCCGACGATCGGTTAAAACATTTTCATCGAATGCCCGTCCCTAATCTCATGTGGTCAGAAAAAAGTGAAAAAAGTGTAAAGAAAAGTCGTCAAACTTAAATAATATTTTAAGAAGAATAAGCGTTTACATGATCCAGGAATACATTTATTCAGCTTTAATCTAAATCGGAATAAACCACCCACTTAGTTCAGGAGACACCGGGAGACGGAGGAAAACACCGGGAGACGGAGGAAAACACCGGGAGACGGAGGAAAACACCGGGAGGCGGAGGAAAAACGGAGGACCGGAGGAAAACCACGGAGGAAAACACCGGGAGGCGGAGGAAAACACCGGGAGGCGGAGGAAAACACCGGGAGACGGAGGAAAACACCGACGGAGGAAAACACGGGAGACGGAGGAAAACACCGGGAGGAAAACACCGGGAGGCAGAGGAAAACACCGGGAGGCAGAGGAAAACACCGGGAGACGGAGGAAAACACCGGGAGAGTCGTGACGAGCGGTTTTGAGTGCGGCTGGTGAAAGTAGGACAGAGAGAAGAGAAAATCCCTTTGAGTCCGTTCGCTTCGCTCAGAGCCTGTTGTCTCAGAATCCCAAAAGAACACACGATCGATTAAGAACATTTCATCGAATGCCCGTCCTTAGTCGCTATACTCCACTTTTTAATTCATTCATTGGTTTTGCGTATAACATGCGATTAATCGTGATTAA